CTGCTCTGTACAGTCTAATACCTATTCAATTCAAACTATAAGTTTGACATCTAGTTTATTTATTGGAATAAACCCATCTCATCATCTCATAGCTCGTAATTTGAAAAATACGCAACTCAAATGAAGAGGTGACTTGCAAGTTCACTGTTTATCTGCATATGAAATAAGAAGAGAACTACTCCTTCCTACTGGAGGCCCAAGTCTCATCAGTTCAGTATCAGGACTTAAAGACTCCAGATTTAAGTAGAGGAATTGTCAGGAATCAGCACAGAAGCAGAATAGTATCTCTCATCCTTTAGAGACACAGCTATTCAACTTTTGCAGTCTTCCTCATCTTGCAGAAGTGCAGCCAAGCCATTCGTTTCTTACTCAAAGTGTGTACGGATGAAGCCATAGATCTAAAGACCGTCCTCTCTGTGACTGAAATTGTGCTGTGTAAACAATGTTATACACTCCAGCAGGAGGACATCGGAATTTATTTATAAAAAAAATGATTAAGAATATTCATTAACTCAAACAAGGCTATTAACTCCCAAAGGTATTTTTGGAACTTATCCTTATGCTACTTGTAAAGTTAGCACTGTCATGTATTATTGCTTACAAACAGTACATCATCATATGCCTTCTAACAGAGCGGTACTGTGATCAGTTCGTAGGTATTTACAGGCTTTTTTCTTTGTTTTTTAAACAAGCTATAAAAACATTACATACTTTACAGACAATACAAATACTCAAGTCAAACAAATGGAATGCATAACAATAAGAAACGTCATAAAGGAAGACTGACATAAGTCCTTGATTGTCAAGACACATTTATATTTATATATATAAACTCTAGCTGTGCAGAATCAAAGATTCAATCATAGGTACATCCTTATTTGATAAATCATATTTACAGCATGATATTGCATAAAAAAATAAAATAATGTTGTTTACACAATATTATCTTTCCATCCATTGGATTAAGGAAAGCAAGAAACAACTCTTAGAAATGTTTGCTTGCCTCAGTTTGTGTTTCCTACCAAAAGATGTAATTTCAAAAAGGAAACATAAGGTTTTGTATGCCAAGTAGAGCAAAAGCAACTATAAATTTATTTCCCTGACACAAAGCAATTTAAAACCCAACAAAAGTTTAAATTTTAACTTAAAGACATTTCTTTTCATTAGCAGTAATACTTTCTTAGTACTTGTCCTTTGCAAAGTGAGTTTTAGCTAAATGCATTACATGCCTAACATAAACATGCATTACCGTAAGTTGAATGAACTTTCAAAGTTACAAGGCTTCATTTTAGTACAACATTTAACACTAGGAAACTGTAACATTATTCATTTGCTTCAGTACCAACCATGTAATTTGAAAGTTCACATGCGTACTGGAACCGACTGCATAAGCATATTTCTGCCTGTTAAGATTTCCAAACGGATTCCCAGGAGTATGAGGATTTTCCCTGTGATTTGTAATGGCGTTAAAACAAGCAAACAAAGAAGAATAAAAATTGAAGCTCTCAAAGCCAAGAAAATTTAGTTAGCAAATATACATACATAAAGTAATCCAATGTTGCAAAATTCAGAGTGGATTCATCCAAATATTCTGGTTCATTTCAAATAGTTACTACATATGATACAAATACTATAAAAATAGTCTGAACAAGCATGGAATATAATGTATCTGTCCAGGTGGAAAGTTTTCATAGGAGAACATGAGTACTTTAGAATAAACTCCAAAAGTTACAGTAGAACCCCAATAATTCGCAGCAATGCCTTAGAAACCCTTTACAAATGACAATTTTGAAAATAGTGAAGAAGCAGGCAATAAAAGCAAAGATGTCACATCACAAAATGTACTTTGTTCATTTATTTTGACAACTGTAATTTAGTTTTCAATACTTCTTCTACCTCCTAGTATACTAATATTGATTCTGTAGTATACTTGGGTGAAGTAGTACAGTAATACTAATAGGAGACCTCACTACAGTACTTTTTAGACTATTGCAGAGAGGTGGGGAAGAGACCATCAGGGACGTATAAACCTATTGGATGCTCTGATTAGCGGTCAGCGAATTAGCAAGATTTTACTGTACTTCTCAATTAACAATGAAAAGCTCCCGTCATCCAAAAAAATTGACAAGCACAATATAAAAATAATACAAGTGTTATTTCACATGAATACTTTCTTGTCCTATTTTCTTCTGGAAACAGAATTTTCCTAAAGACAACACTAGGAGACACAAGATTATAAACATAGTTCTTTTATCATCCAATTTAAATCGTTTATGTTGTTATTCGTAAACCAACATACACTAAAACACATGGTTAATCCTTCTCCCCAAACCTTGTAATTTATGATTAATTCATTCTCAAATCAAATGAAGAAAATGTAAATGCCTATTAGTATACCATTACAAGCTGATTCCTTCATTGTCTGTTATATTAATGGTAAAACATATCAAAGGATTCATGCTAAAAGGGACACTGTCAAGTAATTTAGGACCAAAATATGGCCTATTAATATGTGCGTATACATATATACACATATTGCATATATATATAGTTTGCTAATAAATGTCATCAATTTCCTCTTTTTTAAAAGTCATCATTGCTCTATCCCTAGGAGATATCCCCAAAAAATTCCACCTTACACATACACACACACATTCAGTGCTTGCATGACCTTTAAGTAAGAACGTCTGTTGTTAGCTCTGTGGAATATAAATGCTCACCCCAGCCTTATGCTGACCAACTCAACAGTATCCGTACAAGAACAGAACAGAGAACCGAAGTCAATTTTTTCCACACGTACACAGAAAACTAACAAAAATGAACACTGACCAGGTCAAAATGAAGACTGTGCATCTGTAGCAGATTAAAAGCAGCAAAACATGAGCAGTGGAAAATGTTATTAAATAATGTAATTATTAAACAAGCAAGAGCTTTTTACATAGTTAAACCTCCCAGAACTACATACATACTTATTCCAGAATAAAAGGACATGGACTCAGGAAATCATAGCAGTATATTCGGTTAACTCCTCCAGTACAGAAAGCTTCAAGCATCAGCCAGATCAACTACTCACACCACTGCTTTAATTGTACAAAGGGAAGAACCCTATGAGATAGTCCCTGTGGGCTAGACAGGGACTTCACAACCCGTCCTAAGGCACAGAGTATGGCTGTAATGGCTCAGCAGCAGGCTAAGAAACGAGCTGCAACATAAGGAGTAACAGTTCCTCAGACAATTCCCACTTTGCTGTGGGGAAGAGCAAGTTCCTTCACTCTGTACAATAGCTTTCTCCCTCACACACCCAAGCAGCAATTCCTAACTGTGAAGATGGCATGGACCGAGAGCTACTCCCTCCTACTCCTCAGTCACTTTCTCACAGCAGAGTACCAATGTAGTAACTTTAAAATAAAGCTGAGTCAATCTCTTTAGGGAGAAGGAGGTTTTATTCCTCTTACCTCCCTATGGGGCTAGAGAAGTGCAGTAATAATCTAGACTTTTTTTTTTTTTTTCCTTTTGGCTTTTGCTGCTTGTTGTATTTAACAAATACTACCATCTACTTGCAACAACAGGACATCAGAACAAAGATGCCAACACAGTATTATTCAGGAAGCACAAGCTAGAATGTCATGGAAATGAAACACTGAAAACGAAATGTGCATTACAAGAGGTGGCTTCCTGGGCTATAGGCGCGATACTATTATGTGTGTGCAACATAGAATGGAAAGTCAAAAACCAAAATGACCATAAAGGAAGAAAAACGGAGAGACATGAATCAATTTAAAAATATTCTTTCAAAGAAGTTTCTTTACATGTATCATTAATAATCCATAAGGAATTTACTTTTCTCCCTTGATGGTCATTCTTGTTAACTCAGGGCCAAATATTCAGACAAAATTACTGATAAGTCAGAGCATGCTGAAACATCTTCCTATGTTATACACAGGGTCAATGAATCAAAGAGAATTTGTTTTCTTATACAAAAGTATTAAGTAAGAAGTTTACATAAAATGTATTTCTTGACAATAGAAAAAGCAAGCTATGGATAATAAATGCACTTTCTCCCTCAACTGTATCAAATAAGTTAGTGCTGTAATAGTGCTACCATAAGGGAAAAGAGACAGAGTGGGATCAGTCACCTGGTAATGAAAATTAAGAAAAATATTGCTACTGCTTTGGGAAGAGATGGGAACTGTTGTATGTCCCGCTTAAGTCCTTCTTAAAGGATGGGATATCTTTTAGCCCCTTGAGACGCAGTCTTTTCTCCTAGTTGATGGTTTCATCCAAGAGATACCAGCTAGCAACAGTGCTGTAAAAGGATGTATGTGATCCTATTTGAAAAACACCATATACATACATACCTATATACAGATGTGTGTGTGTGTGTGTTTTTCCCTGGATAATCAGCCTACATTAGGCTTAAACTGCCTTAAACTACCAGACAGTGTCCCTTTAGGGAAGGTGCAATAGAATGAACGTACAGTTCAAAAATCTGTAACTTGTTAACTTAAACTACACAATAGTTAGGCTACTCAAATCTTACCATCTTAAAAATGCACACAGAACTACTTATCGTACCATACCGTATACTTCAAGACAAAGTACTATTCAAAAAACCATATTCATGGTACAGGGATAAACCTTGTAGTTTATTTATTCTGTGAAATGCAACGAAAACTTCTGATCACTCGTCTATGCTGGAAAAAGAAATCCTGTTCACTAGCATTACTCAGCAGTTTTGGTTGGTAAAATTGTAATGACTTTCACTAAGCAAACACTAAAAAGATAGGGAATTTGAATGCCCACTTCTTCAGCTTTCAGGGATACTTCAATAAATTTAATTATCGGAATTGTCAAAATTCTAGACAGAGAATTAAAACAGTTTTTACACAAGCTAAGAATATCCAATCTCAGGTATATTGAAAAGAATTATTGGAGCTGTATGAGATGAAAATGATGCAACCGTATCAAACCTAAAAATCTAAAAATGGTTTTATTTTTTGAGAAATCAAAAACTATCAAGTTGACTAAATGCTCTATGTTAATCATTATGAGTATGTAGGGTAAGGTACAATTAAGCTTTTAAATCTTGGAATAAACAGTTTTGTGTAAGCATTATGCAATTGGGAATGTCATCTACAGAGTATTTTAACTAAAACTTCAAAATCTTGATATCTGCGTATGAAAAAGTCATTAAAAAGTTACATCTAGATTCAGCTGTACAAAGAAATACACATTACTTCAGGAACGAAGTAAACGCTTTAGCAGTTAGGCATTTTGCTTAAAAAAGTGTTTAAAGTATTTTAAATTAATTAGACTTTTAAATAGTAGAGTTAGTCTATCAGAATTCATTTTTTCCTCCAAACACAACTCAAGGTAACGCAAAGCAGAAATAAAGCGCATATGGTCTAAAATTATTTTTGAGAGAGATGGAAGAAAGATTATTTTTCTAGAAAATGCCATCTTTTAAAGCCGTATCTGCTGGACTTTAAAACTTACTGTTTATTCTGTGTGTTTGGTACATGTTGTTTCCCTCCTGAAGGGCAATGACTATGCTGACAAGCTTAGAAATGACAATATGAATAGTATCAGACAATAAACTGTCCTCCCAAAGCATACAAGGAAAACAGTAAGGAAACAATCATGGGGGAAAGTCTTACCTGGGGATTTTGTTTATTTTAAATTTCATAGAAGGTAAAATATTTTCTGGATTCAAACAAGTGAATAATAAACTGCCTTTGATAGGGGCACCAACATCAGGCAGTTCAATGACTGGTGACTAATCAAAAAAACAAACCAACAACAACAAAAAAAATCCAACAAAAAAAGAAGCAGTTATTGGTCTTGCTAATATCAGCTTACTTTTGTTTTAACATAGCGCTCTTAAAAGCTGTACAGAACTCCATCTTATACAGAGCAACCCCCTTTTCACAAATGTGTTCTAAAGTGCCAGTATTATTTACAAAGATTTCTTAGCCAAAAGTCTGGCCCGTTGTGGCATCAGGTGAAGATGTCATCCCAGCTCTGCTATCGTTTACATTCACCAAGGGAAATTCTGGGAAATCAGCACTTGTCCCTGGTCCCCGAAGGTTCACCTGTCCATTGGCAGTGCTAAACTGAGATGATATTCCAGCCCTTGACCCATGGTACTGAGCTCTAAAGGGCTGCTCAAAGGAGCTAATTTGATATGCTTGATGAACAGGTTGTGCCTCTGCTTTCTTCTGAGAAGTTACTTGATCCAAGAAGTCCTGTGTGGAGGAGGAGGAAGAATGATTTGCCTCATCACCTGAAAAGGGAAAAGGGTGCTGTGAATCACCAACCATTAGTCCAAAATGAGACTTGTCTGGAGTTGTTCTTAATGGCGAGTTCATTCCCGATCGAAAGCTATTGACAGGTATAGACGTGTAGACCTTCTCCATGGAAGGAAATGCTGGCTGAGTTGTAAGAGTCTGGTTATCAGTCACAAAATTAAGGCTCGGGTTGTTCAAATAGGCATCATTTTGGCTAGTTCTGTCCAAAGCTTGTTGCAAAAACTTTGAATATTCTTGTAACATACTAGCTTTATCTGACGAGGAAGCTTGAGAGCTTGTTCCAACTGTCTCAGACTGGGTGACCTCAGATACTTCAGAAGAATTGATTGATATACTGGAGGTCACCTCAGTGTCAGCCACACTGAAAGATATCTCATGTTGTCCATTAGCCTTGTGCGAATAATGATCTAACAGAGTTTGCAGTACCTCATCTGGAATGACATTTTTGTCATGGTTACCTTTAATTTCAACATTCAGTGTCTGTGTGTCTAACATTGAGGCTGTAGCAGTTTCATCAATGACGCTGGCCACAGCTGCCTGTGTTACCGAAGGCTGAGATGCTATGGTACTTACATTCAAGGCATATTCTCTACTGTTATTACTAGCTGCTTGTAGATACCTCTTTTTCTTTAAAAACTGCATTGCATCATCATAATTAGTGCTGCTGTGTACAGGTTTACTGGGCCCTTCCTGTAATGTGTCAACTTGATCAATGTCAGCATTACCTTCAGAGTCCAGTAAACTTTGCTTATCCACAAGATCAAAGGCATACTTTGAAACCTTGTTGTCTTCATATGTAGATAAAGGTGAAATGGTTTGACTTTGCTCAAGTGGCTGTTTCAGACTCCTCTTGCTGTTAACTTTTTTGAGAACAAGCTTAGGTGGGTGTATTTCTCCAGAATTTGCTTCTTCTAAGTGCGTTCCACTGACCGAAGAATGTGGCATCTCAACAGCATATTCCGCTACCATATATTCATCTTTTACTTTAGTACTAGAAGAGTACAAAGGCAAATAGTCATTTTTGTCCTTCTTCTGTTCTGATTTATCTGTACTTTCCTTATCCCCAGATTTTGTTTTCTCTGATTTCTGCCTTTTCTTCTTTGGCAAGGAGCTGTCTTTCATAGGCGTAGAGAAACCAGAATCTTCTTCCGATGGCAAAAAGCCAACTTTGGTGGCACTTCTGTTCGGTTTCTTGTCGCGGTTCTCATGGCACATACGTTTATGTTTCAGCACACGATCAGTCCTGGAGAAATACTGCAAAAGATTTTTATTATTATTAATATTATATAGAAAAGTAAATGTATTAGCAGAAAGAAATCTTTCATTCTAACAAATTTACTTAACAATTCAACCACTTTACTGATTTCTAATGAAGTGTCAAACAACAGTATATAATCAATAAAATCCAGCACAGACAGTTGTGACTCTGCTCCACTTCTGCACCAAGGCCGCTCACTCTAACAGAAAAAACACTCTTTATATGTTTATTTGTATGCACTGACTACAACACCTGGAGAAAGTCCTATCTGTACCACTTGCGAATTGACTGCTCTTTTGTTTTTCAGCTGCAAAAAGTTTCACTAAATCATCTTACCTGCAAACAATATTCACACTGGTAAGGCTTCTCTCCACTGTGAGTTCTTTTATGCCTTTCCATGTGATACTTCTGAATAAACCTCATACCGCATTCATCACAACGAAATGGCTTTTCACCTGATAAAAAAACACATAGCAATGTTTATCTAAAAAAATTAATCAACGTTCTTCCATACAATTACCAGGTCAAATACTACGTTCTCTATTAGAAATAATAAAGAAGAGGATTTAGTCTGTTGCTATTGAAAAACAACATAGGGCTTCCTCACATCACTATTTCCCCAGTACTCAGTAGCTGATGCCTCAAAATTATTTTAAGTTTTCACACTAAAAAAAAAAAAAAAACCACAACAAAACGCCACCTTTAAAACTAAACTCTTACCCCCTTTTTCTAATGTAGGTGCAGAAGGTGCAGATATCTGTCTTAAACCCAACAAACGAAGAACTGCAAAGATAGTCTTCCTGAACTGCTGGTACATAATATTTTTTTTAGGGCAGGCAATTGTATAAAAGTACTCCAATTCTCTCACCAACTCATTAACTCAGACACATCCCTTCTAGAGAATTATGTGTTTCCAAGCTTTTAATTCAACATTTTTGTAGGGCGCTCTGTATTTTCCATATTTTTTTCCTTATTTTTTTCCTTATCTGTGTATAGAATTGAAATAACGGCTCTTAAACAAAATCCTGCTATTTAGGTTGGAATGCAAATTTTTTTTAAAATTAATGAAAAAATATTTTATTTTAAAAATTAAGCTGAGAACAAGAAAGTTCTGTAGCTGTACTGGCATTTGCATACTTACAGTTTTTTTCTGTTTGGTTGTTTTGTTTGGTTGGTTTGGTTGTTGTTTATGATTTTTTGTTTATGGTTTATGTTATGATTATGTTTATGATTTTTTGGTTTACTTTTATGAAATATTTGTGCAGACAATATTCATTACCCCAAATTCATCTTCAGTTCTCCTCTTATCTTTCCTCACAAAGAAGCCCTGCAATGATCCCTCCAGAACACAGAGTGACTATTTCTATTTCTTTTAACTTTTACCTTACATCTTCCCTCTGATATTTTTCTTTTCTAGGTTTCTCTTACAAAACCTAAAAATTCCAAGTGCATTGAAAAGTTAGTTTTACTTTTATTTAACAGAACTCACCCTGAACAACAGTAATTCTTCCTCTTAATACTTACTATTAAATCTTTTGAACTGACATTGAGATCAGGGATTGTCTTGGCAGCATCTGTCAACATCCTCTTTGTTCTGGATACTGTACTGCACTGATTTTTTGGGATATAAACCATCTATCTTTTGTTTCCAGAAATATGCAGACTATTTCTATTTTTCTGAGGTAGTTTTATTCTTAAAATTATTTTATTAACTAATTTTATTAAATTATTACTAATAATTATTAAAATGTTGATAAATGTTATTATTTAAAATGTTGTTAGAGTGCCTATTTTCCATTTAGAATAGAAATATTTAGCCACATCCTTCTACAAATGTGAATACGGTACCTTAAAATAAGATGTCAGTATTTATAGAAACTAGAATGGAAAATACCTATATCACCCACATATTTGCTCCTAGTCAGATCATTAATGCCTAGAGTTTCAACCTTCTTAATTCCAAGCAATTTCTAAACCTCTCTCTTTGTAAGTCTATGCCCTATTTCCAATTATTAATTCTTACCTCTCCATGTGGCTTCCCAGCCAATCCCTTTCTTCGATGAAATTATTCCAATTTATTCTCTCCTAAATCAAATTATCTCCTTCCTAAGATCTCTCATCGTCCATCAGTTCTTTTTCTACAGGCTCACAATCTCAGCATCCTAACTCTTCTTTCACATTTAGTCAGAGACTAACTTGTACCATTTCTTACTTATTAATAATCACCATAAAATTTTGCTTTTTTTTCAGCACCCTTTATAAATGATAATGCCTATCATATAATCCTCTCCCATACTGTCTATAAGCAAATCCTCCTCCCTGGCCTGCTTCTTAACTTTCAAACTCCAGTTTCATTCTTCATGTTCTCTTTTTTCATTAGCCACCCTTACTACTATGGTGGTTTACTTGCACCAAGCCTGTTGAGATTTTCTGAATCAACGTCCAATCCTTGTCTTCACTTTTAAAGAAGATGAGGCAAGACGTTTAGGTCTCATTTTTCTTGTTTAATACACGGGAACACTTCTATTCCCAGAGACTACTACTTGATCCTTGTTACTTACTGTTTTCTTTCCCTTTACTCCACTATTCTACGTGTTTCTTTTAAATTGCCCCTTCAAAGAACTCTCCTTACGTTGTCTGGAAGTTTGCTTTCACATTATCTTAAATTTTTTTTAGAGAAAGGAGCAGCTGTTTGGGATGAAAACTATCCTGAGCCTTACGGAAGCCAAACCAAGTCAGAGAAGCAAGACAGCTCAGTCTTGTTCTCGCTTTGAACAGCCCTTTAAGGAGCTATCCTGCTATCCCAGGAAATGCAGAACGCTTCATTAAAACACTTACCTTCAGCCTTATACCGATTTCCATAAATGAGTGGTCACACAGTTCCTTAACATTTGTCTACTCAAGCTGGCTATCTGCTGGCAGAAGACTCTCCCAGCTACCTATTCCTTTTTTGAGGCTTAAATAGGGCAAAACAGGGGTTCTGAGGTTTTTTCATTGTCAAGTTATTACCATCACCAGCTATTTTGGCTGACTTTGAGAGTACATACAAAGGCACTGCTGGCCATGCCTCAACAGGAAGAAAAGTTTGGGGACACTGCCCTTGAATTACTCAGCACAACACAGAAAATAATATTTTTCAGTAGAATTCCAGAACACTTGGGAAGTAAGATTAAGAAACACTTTGTGAAACTGATAACATACTTAATTTTTGCTTTAATCTTCATAAGGAAGATAATGTTAGAAAAAGATTAAAAATTAATATGAAGATAAGCTTCCTATAATAATTTCTTCCTAGCAGAAGCCTGAAACTTCAGAAGCCTTCTGCAATTTTGTTGTACTTTTCAAACAGGATCTATAACAAATGGAGGAGATCATTAATAACAACCTCTCGCTAACGTAGCGAAAATCCAGGACATATTTTTCTGAAACGTCTTAGTAAGTGGCAAAGAATCAGACGGAGGGGAAAAAAAAGTCAAAATTTAAAAATAGAATACAATAATTATATATATTATTTACGAAAACACCCTATGTTTTGTGTCAATATTGGAAATCTATTAAAATTGAGCAATGGAACTATTTATAAAGTGTAGTACAAATACTACGTGCATGAAGGTTGTAACAATTATAAACCCCCAGGCATTTTAAAAACTAAACAGACAAAATACAAATTATAAAATACCAAAGAAGGCAATAAAAAAGCAGCATGACTGATTAATAAGGTGCTTGAATTGTTAGCCCCAATGTTTTCGTGGTTTTTTGTTTTTAAATGTAATCTCATTTTTTGTGTTTAAAATGGAAAGTAGGGTGGGTTACAGAATTAGGACACATGAATGCGTGAGTGGGAAAGGTGTATAGAAACATCTCTAAGCAAAAAGAAAGCAGACGTATTTGAAAAAAACAAACATTCAGCATCTTCATGAGCCTAGTAAACTCAAAGTATGAAATGACTCTTCCCTCTCTTAAAATGAAATAGCGATTTTCTGTATCATGAGTGACAAGTTTAGCAGCAGGGTTCTAGCACTGCTGCCCTCCTCTACATACAATTATTTCTAGTAAGTGAATTTTGTATTAATGCAATGTCTGCTTTTAGATGCAACTACTTAATTATTTACACAGAATAAGGCTGTTCATTGATTGCTTCCTAACTCCCTTGTAACATTTCATTTGAAGGAGTGGTTCAGAGAACCGAATTCTAGAACTAGCTGGAGCACCTTTAAATTCAGGGCTTGTAACAGGCATAAAATGGGGCTTCTAAGTGTTACCACTGTCTTCGATTGGTTTAAAATAAACTGGAAAATTGGATAAACATTTTTAAAAGAGTAAGAAACATCCTATTCTTCATCAGTGTCTTGAACACTGTACAAAAGCTGTTGTTAAAAGCGGTCAGAGAGAGATAAATAAAAATAAAAAATACAGTATTGAATTTATAAGAAGTATTTCTTAAAAGAGTATGAATAACACAAGAGAGCTTTCCTTTACTTCTGTCAAAGTGAAACACAGACCCACTGCTCACCTTCTGGTGAGAGAAGCAAGCTGAAAATTCAGCTTTTCTGGATGGGCTCAATTATGCAGTCCTGAACAAGAGAGCAACACTACACAAACAGCTACGGCCCAATACTGAATGCTGTCATACAGAAGAGAAAGCACAGACAGGTATGTAGAATGCCAATTAGCTACACTGTAACTGGGCAAAACCAAAAATTAAGCATTAGTCAAACACTTGCTAACTAAATGGACTTAAAAAAAGCTTTTTCCACTCCTGGAAGCTGGATCTTGCATGTTTTTGCCTAGCCATCTACTAGTTGTCACCTAGGAAAACACCCATAATTCAACAATTTAAACACAAGTACCATTTTCAACTTTATGAGAAACAACCAAACTATATCTCAGGATGCTGAGGAAAGGAGGAAAACATAGTTATCTAAAAAGGTCAGATAACAATATAGTTAACTTGTTAAATGGCACCTTTTCCTCTCCTAAATAAAGACTAGTGTATGTAAGAGGTAGCAAAAAAGCCTGCAACCCCACCCCTACCACACCCTCCCTCCAAAGCTTACAGTCAACACAGAATTCCCATTAGAGCTAGAAGTTGAATTTAAAAAGATAATTAAATCCACTTATAAAATATTTGCAGTCAAGTGTTAATTAACTATATTGCCCAGACTCATTTTCAAAGCCACGTACAGGGAATAATTCTCATTAAAAAAAAAAAAATCTTCTGAAAAAAAGTGAAGCCTGAACTTAAATTTTTGCCTTTTATTTTTTTTTTTGGGGGGGGGGGGGGCATGGGGTGGACAGATAGATGGAAGAGAGTGAATGAGCATTCTTTTCAAGAATAGTATCTACACAAAGTGGAGGCAGCATGGTTCACCAATTCAGAGCCAGAGGAAAGACTAGGAGCAGAACAAAGACACTGGACAGAAGAATGGAGGACTCTTCTGTGGCTGACTGGCTGAAGGAAACCTACTTAGTCTGGACTCATGGCAACCTAGGATACAAAAATCCCATAAACAACAGGGCATTTGTGCATGTAACTCCCTGTACACTGCTCTGAAAATTCATTTTGCAGAGTTTTTTCTCCCTCTCAACTCTTACACATGCACACACTGCACTGCGTGTTAGTAGCTTTCATATCCATTTAAATGCTACAGCCAAGAAACACTGTGCACATTCACCAGCTCTGCTTTTCTGAAAAAGAGGCTGAGAAATTGGCATCTAGTCCAAAGGGACCATATTACAAAATATTTAAAGAGGGATTGAAAGGCCATGCACCAAAATGCCAAAAACCCAATGAAGCCAAACCTGTTAAAGAATGTGGTTTTGTGCGGTGCAAGAAGACAAAAAAAATAAACATGTAAAAACTTTAACTCTCTTTGGCTTAAAACTTCAGGCCTTGTTTAACCTATATTGCACATTTTAAACTAAGGCTCTTATTTTTAGAATAGTTCTGAATTAAACCTTTCCAAAAAAAAAAAAAAGTGAAATGTAAAGCTCATACTAATACCTTTGGGGTTAGGCATTTTGGCCATTTTAGTCCTGGCACTTTTCCATCAAATTCCAAAATAAACAAACAAACAAATAAATCTACTGAAATGTAATTTGAAAATCCCCATTTGTCTGAATTAACTTGATACAACAAAAGATAGAACTCCGTAACAAACCTTGACTTCTATGAATGCACAAACTTTAGAATTTGCTACTCTGGGGTTATTTACAGGATACTACTTTCAGATTTGCTTGCTAGAGTTTATACTCACTTTACAGCCAAAGAAAAGTGGAGCAAGTTGAAAGCATAAAACTAATTTATTTTTAGAAGTTTTATAACATCTGTTAAGTGAAAACAAACTACAACAGGGTTTTAGGCTGCATACTTATTACCAGAAACCTTGCCTGAGTGGGGAAACAGTTAAGCACGCCAGTAAAGATACTCAAGGCACTATACTCACCAGTATGAATCTTCTCATGCCTCTGTAGCAGGTACTTCTGTATGAAACGCATGTCGCACTGACTGCACTGAAATGGTTTTTCACCTTGAACAATATAATTCCACATCCATAAGTTAATAACTACACACTGTTGTTTCTGATAACTACTTTTGAGGAATATTAAAATGTCTATTAAAAAACCAGCATCTGAGCGAATTCCAAAAATACTCTTTTACCAAAAAACATTAGCCTTACTTAGTATACAAACTGCAGAATTCTTTCCATGATCCTAAAAGAGTCACATTAAGACTAGCACGGAAGAGTGATCTGAAATGGCTGTAATTTCCTCATGAACAAGATCAATCACGATGCTGGCATAAGACTGCATTCAGGATACTGGCAAGCTATTATAATGGTAAGTACCTTTTTCACTTCTCCGAACCAGAGAGATACCTCATCAGGCAAATAAGCAGCCGGAGCACATTTTACAAAGGGGTCAATTTTGGCACTTAGGCTACAAGTCAACCCATTACTTTCTGATAAAGAAAGAAAAGAAACCTTGTAAACAGTTAGGTCTTCAGTTTATTAAACATATGTTGATTTTTTTTTTCTGGTATTCTTTTGACACTTTGGTGCATGGAATCTCTAAGCTTAGATGCCAAGTTAGCTACACTCTCAAAACTGAAATTCGCATAGAGCTGAAAACATTTTTAACATAAGTAAACAACTCTTTATATAGTAGAAAAGACAAATTTGAAGTCAAGCAGTACCTGTATGAATGAAGACATGTCTCTGTAAATGGTAGTTGGTTCTAAAGGCAGCATTGCAATGCTCACAAACGTGAGATTTGTGGGTTTTCAGACCAAGTGATCCATCCTCATTTATTGTAAGGATCTATTTTAAAAAGAGTAAAATTTGTTCTCACACTACCCTCTAAAGATGTCTTATTAACTACAAAAAAAAAAAACATTAATTTTTTTCGATGCAGAAAATGTCAATATTTCAGGTAAAACAATGCTAATTTCTACAAAGCTATGTGTTAGGCTTTCAGTATACATTTCCAATTGCAGTCCAATCCAACTCGTGTCTCCTTGTGTATTAAGAGATATTTCAACGGGACTCAAAGCAGCTCATAGAAAATCAGCTTAGAGCTCCTCTATTCACAGCTGAGTCACTTTATATGCTACTGTTTACTTTGTCCGTCTGTTGGAAAGGATGCAAAGTAACCAAACCACCTCTGGGCACTGAACCATGGATAATCGTATTTTAAAGCAAAAGTGAAAAGTTATATTCTTTTTTCAAATCATAACTGTAAATGTTTGCTAAAAGGCATTAAAACTTATCCAAGATAGTGATACAAATTATCTACATCTACAGAATACTAACAGTCTCAGAGGCAAAATTACATTCTAAAAAACAAAACTCCAAAGCCAAACAACCAAGAAAATAGTACTATCCTTCTCCCCTTTCAGGTTTTTCACTCAATAAAGTATTGCTCACTCAATATATTTATTAGAGCATCTCTTTGGTGAATTCAACTTGCCACACTCAATTGCTTTGCCGTCAAACAAAGCTGCTATTTTCATAAGAAGTTGAAAAAACTTAAAGGAAAAAAATTGCACCATATCTACCTTATTCAATAAAGCTCATCACAGGTTTTCTCTAATTTGTCAAAAAGAAAAAAATCAAACCCCAAACTCTCTACTATCTCTGGCAAGAGAATTAGAAAACCAGTAAACAAATTGCATTTCCAAAAGTCTTTCTTAACTGGAAATAGAACTATAAAGCAGAGCTTAAGTAACAAAACAGTTTAGTCCCTTGTTACTAACAAAAAAATAAAAGTCTGCTGGGGAAACACATCTGCAGTTTGATTAGCTATGATGTTTTAGGTTTTATGATAATGACAGTGATGAGAAAGAGATAGTCAATAACTGAAATAGTATCTTTGCAATAGTAGCAAATACTGTAGCATCTACTTAAACAATTTTTAATTCTGCTGCATCAAAATTCAGCAAGAGTGAAAGTCTCAAGCTAACAAATTCCTGTGCATTCACTCTGAAGGACAAGCACATTCATACGTTTATAAGATTGGTATGTTACAGCTCCAGTAAGTCACGATAGAGACAATTAAAAAACTCTGTTCTGTAACAACATGCAGCTAATGAAACACTGACTGGTTATTTAAAATAAATTTAAATACATGTTATGAAATGCTTTTCATATATTATATTGAAATTTTAAAATAATTGTGCAGAAAATACACTTAATTTCATGGTTATCCTAAACCTGGGCTCCTCTACTGCATCCATTCATTGTACCACCTCTTAAAGGAAGAAAGTTAACTTTGTCAGTGCAGTTTTCCTAATAAAAGCAACAAAAAAGCTTATGCGTGTGTGTGCGTGCGCGCAAGCATGTGTGTATGTGTGTGCACATGTGTTTGTGAGCGTGGAAGAGGGAAAAGTAGACAGGATTCATAAAAGCTAATGACTTTTTATTTATATGATGACTACATTAATATAAAATAAAATTTAAAATCTTTCAGTATGTTAATTGACTTCCATTTGTAAAAGTCCCAGCTGCTGTTTGGATGGAAAATTAACCCCATTACTCTGGGAATACCAACTTAAACTGCAGTAAGCTCTCACCTATGTCAGTCCTTCAGCTTCCTTCTGCCTTTCTACTCTGACAAGTTTGAAAAAAGGGAAAGAGACACTGAAAAAGAACCTGTTTAATGATTCTCCTGGTCATTTTTCAATCTTTTGTCATCTCAAAAGACTAACACTGACAGACTGGGAGATAAAAAGGAAGCATGCAAGTATACGTCTGTAGAAAGAGGGACGCATGCCTCTCCTACCTTGCCACGTTTCCATGGAAGTGATCTGTGGATGTACTCAACCTAGATCTCCTTTTTCTATCAAAGGGAAGTATCTTGATGCACAGGATTTGGAACTTGCTTCCACACCCAATCTGAAACAATTTCTCAACTTTCCAAGAATACTACAGGTGCAACCTAATTTGACAGTGCTTTGAGGAGGACTGAGGGGTCCCACTCCCAGGCCAACAAAAAAGTGGTTTTGGAGTTTTTCTTGGTGTTAAGGTGAAGTTTTCCTTCAATGTATACAGAGTCTGGATTGATTTCAGTGTAGGCTTATCTTAATGCTGCTGTGTGATAATACAGAACTGATTTTTGTCTATCAGAGCAGCCTGTATATGTTCTATTTTAAATCTGAAGATTAATACTGATTTGGGGAAATACTAGAAGATATAACACTGCTACCTCATGAGGTGAAATGATTCTGGTTTTATCTGAAGTGCGTCTCAATAGAAGAAAATTGTTTTCAGACATACAGGGACACATACTCTTCATGAATGGATCTACAAAACAAATTTTGAAGTAACAAACCAGCAGCTATGGTAAGAATCTTTTGATATAAATAAATACATATATGAAGATGATTATGACCACAGGAATATTCCCTACCAGTAAATTTTATATATATTAGTACACTTTTTAGAGTTTTCAAAACTACCATTTTAGATTTCTTTTTAAAAACTTTTCATTACTATGCATGAAGCATATAAAATTATCAGGCTCACAGAAAAGCACAACTATTATTGGATAGATACAGAGTAATGATTTATAAATTGTCTACAAAGCTACTGACTCATAATTTAAAAAAAAATATTTGGAGAGAGAACTGCCTGGAGAGACAGATGTTAAAATATGTCAAGGGTTCATGTTGCTAAAAAGAGTTCAAAGAAAAACACTGTTATATTAGGTTTTGGTTTGGGTCTCTGGTGAACTTCAGGACTGCATCTTTACTGAGCAAACAAACAATTTCCAGCCTAACTACTTCAAATGCTAATGAAATTAGTCATAGTCAACCAAATCTTCAGGTTCTTTTAATCTTGGTTTTGCCAAATCAATGTCTTACTTTTGCTGGTGAACGCTGTTTTCTTTTCTTCTTTTTCTGCAAATCTACTGGCTCTCGTATTTGTTTTTTGTCTCGTTTCTGTTGTTCAGATGCATCAGTAAAGGTAATTTCTTGCTTTACACTGATCTGTTAAGATACCAAGTGCCAGTTTCAGGTAAGGTTCTCACTACAGAAAAGCAATTTTTCAATTTTAGAAGATGACAAACTGCTGAAACAGAAAACCTTTTTCTAAGGGAATTATCTTGTGGCTTCATTCTTTCAGAAATTTGAGTGAAAGGAATAATAAGTATCTTAAATAAAAAGGGCATAGTTAATTTCTACAGTGACATTTTGATGTATCCTTTCATTCACCTCCCAAGGTCTTTTTTTCCTTCTGACCTGTGGTGATTTTGAGATCAGTTCGTATATTAAAATCACTTCCATCTGTAAAACCATTCAGTTTTTCGTATCTATTTTACTTTAGTCCATGTTGTTGTCAATGCAAGATTTAACGGAATAGTTTATTATATATTTAAGACAGAAGTATTTTTTAAGAAAAAAAGAACAGTACTAATGAAGTTTTTGGAAAAAAAAAATTCTTGATCTAATGTAAACTTTAATAAAGAGCATGACACTCTTACATTTTTTTTCTAACACCTGAACCACCTGATCTACAGCTAACAGAGTAGTGTTTTAACAATGCTACCTTTCTGAAGATTATTCTTCTTGCATATAAAACTATCTACTTTTAAAGTCCTGGTAATTATCCTCTATGTTTGAAGGGTAACAGTGATGATGTGCTGCATTACAGACAGTCGCTCTGTTTTCAAAAGGAAGTCATCTATATTCTCTCTGGTAAAGCTGAGGTACACCTTCTATTAGGTATCGAGGAGGGGCATATTTATGGTGATGTATGAAGTGTCACAGTCCAACCTGCAGTGTGAATGCAATTGCTAAGCGTCCACATACTTTGAAAACATATGAGATGCTTCCTAGAGCAAAAGAAACTAAATAGTACTATGAACAGCATAAACAGTATGCACCCTTTAATAACGCTATTTATTCTGGTTTGTAGTTACCCTTGAACATTAAATATAATTAAAAGAGCACACTTTAACGCATTAATTCTATGGTAACAGCCTGCTTATAAAATGTTTATAAAACAGATACTTAAAGATTATACTTAATTGGCAAAATTTATCCACAGCCAGAGGCAAATGACATTTTCATAAACAGCATCCATTCATAAATATTTTGATAATCGAAATCCAAACAAGCAATTAATAGGCTCTTGCCAGAGTAGGATTAGACTACCAGATCAAGCTTCCTAGTAACTTCTCCAATATTTCACAAAGAAATTGCTTACAGGGACATTAACAGCATACTGCAGCCCTTGAGGAAGTCTATCTTGCGTATCCATGTCATCATCATTTTTTACCGTCTCCTCATGGACCATGAGTTCATCATGTGAAATCATCTCTTGCTGTCGAAGTTCACTTTCCTGTAACACTTCATCTGTTGCAAGAATTTCTTGGTGTGCCATAGTCCGATCTTGAAGCACTGCCTCTTGCCGTTCTCCCGATACTCCAGACTGGTCAGATACTGCACCCATCCCTACCATAGCCCTGGATGACTGCATCTGGTCTATGCCACCACATTTAAGAAATAATCCTCCCAGCTTGTCTTCAATGTTCATTCTTAAGTGCAATAACCTACAAAGAAAGTTTTAATAGTAAACATCTAAAATTGGTGCTCTTGTTTAAAATTTTTTACTTAAAAACATTTTAGGAGAACTCAGTCAGTACTCAACATACACACATGCATTCCTAAAACTGATATCTGAATAAAAGCAAAAAGTTGGATATCTTGGTTCAACATGAAAAGATTCTCCTTTCACATACATGCATGTGTACACAATTGAACACTTTCAAATAAAAAATTTGAAATCCAAGTGCCTTCTGATTACTGGCAAAATTCTGGTAACTAAATGACAGCTAATTCCTCTTTCTCATTCCTTAGAAAATGGTTCTTTTTTTCCTGTGTGCCCTTTTTATTCTGTTCTGTTTTTTCCATTTTGACTCTCTTTTACAAATGCCTCTTTCATATTGGTCCTGTTCTCCCTACTTCCTTGTCCTTTAAGCGCCCTTTCACTGCTGCTACCCCAGGGCATGCTCTTGATGCTAGAACATCTTAATATCTACAAATGAGAGAAAACTGGGCTGCATCACAAGCAGTGTGGCCAGCAGGTCGAGGGAGGGGATTCTCCCCCTCTACTCCGCTCTGGTGAGACCCCCCTCGCAGTACTGCCTTCAGTTCTGGGGTCCCCAACACAAGAAGGACATTAAGCTGTTGGAGTGAGCCCAGAGGAGGCCATGAAGATCATTCAAGGGCTGGAGCACCTCTCCTGAGAAGACAGGCTGAGGGAGTTGGGGTTGTTCAGCCTGGAGAAGAGGAGGCTCCAGGAAGACTTTACTGTGGCCTTTCAATACTTAAAGGGGGCTTATAAGAAAGATGGGGACAGACTTTTTAGTACGGCCTGTTGCAATAAGACATGGGGTAATGGTTTTAAACTAAAAGAGGGTGGATTTAGACTAGAGATAAGGAAAAAATTCTTCACTGTGAGGGTGGTGAAACACTGGAACAGGTTGCCCAGAGAGGTGGCAGATGCCCCATCCCTGGAAACGTTCAAGGCGAGGTGGGACAGGGCTCTGAGTAACCTGATCTAGTTGAAGATGTCCCTGCTCATTGCAGAGGGGTTGGACTAGATGGCCTTTAAAGGTCCTTTCCAACCCAAACTATTCTATGATTCTGTGAAAACACAACTTTCTGGCTAAAGGTATATGTCAAATAAAGACTATAGAGAAGTCAAATCTGTTTATAAAAAAGGCATTCACTGCCACACCCACTAAGCAGGAGCATTAGTGAGGAAATATGAATTCCAGTCATGAATAGCAATGCCATTACATTGACTTATGGTACATAGATAGATATAAAATTATAATATACCAACAAGTGTTATGACATTATTAATTGTTTTTAAACATGGGGCAGCAGGCTTTTGTGAAGCTGGAATTGGCAGCATCTTCTTATTCTACTTATTATTATATATGCAAGACAGTCCTAAGACGACTCTTCTCCTTGGTATACTGGATGTTCAGTTACAGCAGTCAGCCTCCTTCACCCTGTTCCCCAGGCCGATAACTCCTACCCTATTCCACAGTGCTCTGGTCTGCTCCTTCAGACACAGACAGACAGGCAGACATCCTTCCTCCATCCCTCTGTCTTCCCACAGCTGGAGGGCAAAGGCTATACAAAGGCTATAGCCAGACCCAGGGATGGGAGCAGAGGCACAGTGGAGTTGGACAGCACATGGCAGGCCTAGTCAAAGCACAAGACGGCTGTCTTGAGGAGTACTATGACAGCATCAGCACCTTTGATTTTGATGCATTCAGAATTATGACACAGATGTAGTGTTGGTATACTGCTAGTCATCAGCTTCAGATTCTGTCCCCCTAAGAGTGCAGCATGGTGAAAGGCTCCATCTCCATTAAAGTTGGCTATGCTGCTTTCCCTGCCGCTCTTGATGACAACTCATAACCAAAGAAATCAAGTCTCTGCTTAGAATCGGCAAGGCCATCACCCTGCAGAACTGCACCACTATAACCCCCTGCCAATTTAACAGCCTGCTGACATCCAGAAAGACTGGACCAAACAAATGTACGTAAAGTGTTTAAATTTCAATTTTCAGTTTGATCCATTTGATCACTTTCCAAATAATTTTCTTCACCAGGAAAATATTTTGAAAATTCTCGATGTATCTTAAACATCTGAAATAGTGTTTATACCAAACTACACTGAGTTTACAAAATAAATCGTAAATCGAAAAAATTCTTCAGGTGAGATCCTAGAGTACTTGGTAGAAATGCAAGCCACAACAATTGAAAAAGATCTCTAAGTTCTCCTGCATGATACTTTGTTTCAAATCCTGCTATTATTTCTTAACCTTCTGAAAGTAAAATTCGCTCAATTTCTTAAAAAAACAAATAAACAAAGTAACAAACCAACCCACCACACACCCCAACAAATAAAAAAGGCAGCCCATTAACACCTTCTGGTAGCAACTAATGTTGTATAGCTCGAAAGTGAAAGAACATTTGTCCCTACTCTCTATTGTGAAAGGTTCTAAATTTCTGAATATATCACAGAAAGGCTGACAGACAGGATAGTCTGGAGGAGTTTCAAATATTTAAGAGGCATGCCAAAGACAGAAGCTTTTCAGTCATTTAGATTATTTTTTTTCAGTAAGCCTTCCTCTGCTGGAAGTCAGGAGGACAGAGTCACCAAGCTAAACCTGTTTATATATGAGAATGTCATCAAAATTTTTAATATTCTTCCTTCCTACATAAAAACCACATTCTAGGGACCAAAAAAAGCCTGTGATAGGAGGAGAACATTGGGAAAATTTCTGTTCAGAACATTCATGCTTGCAATTTGTCCTTTTTTTGTTGTTGTGTAATTCTAACATAAAGAAGTTTGAAATCTTACTCTTGATTTTCACAGCATCTGTCTTCAAATACAGACAACAATTCCTTAATGCCTTGAATGAGCTCAGGCAGTGCTAGGTGACAAGCTTACTCCCAAGTTAGTCCACTCTACAGTAAGAGAGTGAGATTTCACATGTCTTCAAGGGAAAACGCATGTCCAGTACGCCATGCAGCCACCTGCAGACATTATATAATCCATGAATTATTTTTTGGAGGTAACTGGGAAACCATACCGATAGTTTCTCAGCAATAACACAAATAAACAAACAACAACAACAACAAAACCTGGCACAGCACTAAGGCTGTATTTTTTCCACCAGTGCAGATCTCCCAGAGAGATCTTGCAACAACATCCTAAAAGAAGAAAATGAGGATGAATTTATCATCTTATCAGTGTGGAATATCCTGTAAGGAATGTGAGAAGGAACTGAAGTTCTTAAGAATCTGTCTCCCATGGAGCCATTATTTGATAAGAGATGGCACAAAAGATCCAAGGTTGAGACTGATTTCTTAGGTAGGGCATTTTAAATACATAGCTTGAAAGACAGACTCCAAGCAAAACAGGTAGATATATTTATTCATTTCAGCCTTTATCTCAAGTTAATCCATACTCAGGGTACATCTCACACAGATTGTCACTCACTATGGTTTTCTTCCACGCTACAGAAATACAACACCATAAGCATAAGAGGAATGACATGGACAGGTACTGGAACACAAGAACTCAAGATGCTGAACCACATTCAAGGGAGAACAAACAGCATCAAGTGTGAGAACACAGTGGCCCTAATCTGTCTGCTCAAGCCACTGATGAAAACAGCACAGAAGGTTGTTCCACATGGAGGATACTGCCATACCACTCTGAATTAGGTAGGAATTATGGAAATCCTGGATTTAAAGCTATTTCCTGGCAGGAAGGTAGGCAGGCAAATGCAGATAGAGAGACTGAGTGTTTAACAGTGGAGAAGAGCCTGCTACTCTCACCAACAGAGGTGGGAAGACTTGTGACATGCAGAATCTTAGGACAGCTGGCGAGATACAGCAGCTGCCCAGAAGGCAGGCTAGAGGTGTACTGCTATTTAGTGGTCTTGTTAGTTCTCTCAATTGCCAAGGATATGGAAACTTTTTCTTTCTCACCCTGACTAGTAGGGTTAGCAGAGTCATGCAACCGAAAGCACTGAAGTTGTTTTCCAGTCATGATCTTGAGTCATATCGAAAGCCGGTACAGTGAGTGTACCACTTATTAAATCAGGCTTTCAAACATCTGGCTTTTCATAGAAAAATAATCATAGTGTTAGTCTGCATACCCTAAGTGATGAAACACAATGTAAGTTATATGACATGCAGGTACTGTTTTAAAATGAAAAACCACAAACAAAAATAAGCTATTAATCCAAACAACAAGCATCCCAATTGCAATCAATTCAGTAAAACAGGTGTAATTTGTCAACTGACACTTTTTGGCTCACATAAAAGGAATCCTATCATTTAAATTGAAGATGAAGAGAAGCGTTCTCGAAGAATGACAGTGTGATAAAGAAAATGTAAGTTAAAAGCATTCAAACAAGCTCACTTTATCAAGCCTGCAAAGATTAAATAAATATTTTAAGTGCAAGATGCACCTGTGAAATAAAAATCAACTTACTTCGAGATTACCTTGAGGGAAGTTACATTAATACAAACCACATACTAACACACGCATAAGCACGTTTCTTGGCATAAGACATCGCCATCCTTATTGCAGAGAAGTTTTCCATGGAATTTCAGAACATCTATTAAGCTTCACCAAATAATCTCATGATTTTTCTTTGAATATATAATTTCTCTATACACTGACAGAAAAAGAGCTGTCAACAAAACCTCTGAAGTATTCATTTTGCTCAGTAGAGGTTCTCCAAGCCTTTACTCTATGCAAAGTATTTTACAAGAGACAGTTACAGGCAGAGCTTCCTGGGTATGCACACATTTTGAGGGAGGAAAGAGGGGAAGGGGAGGGACTGTACAGAAAAGATCCCACAGGATCATCCCAGCACCTTGTCTTTTCACACAGTGCTCCACAGCTGCTTGTAGAACATCCACAGCCAGTGAACCATGTTGCTTCATTTCAAAAACGGCTGCTACGCCAAACCCTACGGCAGTACTTCAGAACTATTCATTTCAGTAACCCT